GTTTGTACTGGCCGACAAAGCAGCCAACAATGTGGTGGTGGTATGCCTAAATACTACACGGACGTTCTTAAGAATGAAATTTTAAATTCATCTACATTCAAGTCCATGCGCCCCACAGAGAGTCATATAGTTAACAAACATATCATAACCACATCACAGCTTAAGGCTTCTTCTGAACATTTGAAGGTCTACTATGTATTGTTAACCTAAACTACACAAAAAACCAGTAAAATATAGTTTCATCTCGGCCTCTAGTAAGTTTACTACAACTAATCTTTCAGTGCTTTTAACAAGTTCCTTAACTACTATCAAAGAGCTTATCATAAACTATTGTAATAAAATATATGAAAATAGTGGAATTAACTATTTTTGGAGTGTAAAAAATTCTTTGGATGTTTTAGATAAATTACGTGCTTTTGATGGTCCTTTTGATTCTGTTGACAGTTTTGACTTTTCTACTCTTTACACTACACTGCCACACAATCTTATCAAACAATAAAATGCTCCGCTGGGCACAGCTTGATACGACCGCAGAGGTTGTACCCTGAACAGTTGGGGAAAGTATGGACACAACATTCAAGCTTGATACAGCACTGAATTTGGATTGTGATTAAATATTTGACACAGCATAGGTTTCTGACACAGAATGAATGTGGTCTAAGAACTTAATTTACCTATTCAAACCATATCATTATAATTTGCTTTTATATATAAATCAGAAATAACCAATTTAAAATGGAAAATTTTGAAGAAAAAAAAATGAAAAAAAAATCCCTTCCCCAAATTTTTTGAACCCCTTTATGATTCATCACCCCCAAACTCAATCCCAGCCTTCCCTTTGTGGTATGGTACCTTGCAGTACAATTTCAGAGAGATCCATACACTTACACACAAGTCATTGTCCTGAAACTAGAAAAATGCTTGTTTTTTGCCCCTTTTTGGCCCCTAATTCCTAAACGTTTAGGGCAATTACCCCCAAAATCAATCCCAGCCTTCCCTTTGTGGTATGGTACCTTGCAGTACAATTTCAGAGAGATCCATGCACTTGAACACAAGTTATTGTCTGGAAACTAGAAAAATGCTTATTTTTGGCCTCTTTTTGGCCCCTTATTCCTAAACGTTTTGTGCAATTACACCCAAACTCAATTCCAGCTTTCCCTTTGTTATATGGAACCTTGTTGTACAATTTTAGAAAGATCCATTCACTTACACTCAAGTTATTGTCATGAAACTAGAAAAATGCTTGTTTTTTGCCCCTTTTTTGGCCCCTAATTCCTAATATTTTGAGGCAATTACCCCCAAAATCAATCCCAGCATTCCCTTTGTGATATGGAACCTTGTGGTACAATGTCAGAGAGATCCATACACTAACACATAAGTTATGTCTGGAAGTTACAAAAATGCTTATTTTTGGCCCCTTTTTGGCCCCTAATTCCTTAACTGTTGGTACCATAACCCCCAAAATCAATCCCAACCTTCCTTTTGTGGTATTGAACCTTATGGTAAAATTTCATAGAGATCCATTCACTTAAACTAAAGTTAGAGTGCGAAAACCAATGTGTCTTCGGATGACGACAACGACGATGACGCCAACGTCATACCAATATACGACTGCAAAATTTTTTTGCGGTCGTATAAAAATTTAGCTATGTAATTAAATGGTCGTTTGGTAAATCTGAATGGAAATATATTTGCTGCAACTCATTTAAAGCCTTCTTCTCTAATGAGAAAGGTAAATATGCTAGATATACTTACTGGAGGTGTGATGAGATGATTGAAGCTGTTAATTTTCTCCTTGATAATATATATATACGTTTCAGCAGCAAAGTTTATCGACAGGTTGTAGGTATTCCTATGGGCACTTATTGCGCCCCTTTAATAGCAGACTTGTTTTTGTACTATTATGAATCACAGTTTATGACCAAACTCAGTAAAGACCCGTCTAAATTGCATTTAATTGATAAATTCAACAACACTTACCGTTATCTTGATGATATTTTTTCGTTAAATAATCAAGAATTTTCTCAATATACTGCCGAAATTTACCCAAAGGAACTTGCTTTAAATAAATCAAATTTAAACAGTAACAACTGTCCTTTCCTAGATTTAGATATTTCGATTTTACCAGGGGAAACTCCACACTAAAATTTACGACAAAAGGGACGATTTTTCGTTCCCTATTGTTAATTTTCCCTTTTTGGATGGCATTGTTCCTTTGGCACCATCTTACTGTGTTCATATTTCACAACTCTTTCGCTATGCCCGTGTCTGTTGTGACGTTTTTGATTTTAACGAACGTAATCTATGTATTACTGGTAAATTATTAAGCCAGGGATTTCGTTACCACAAATTACTTAAAACCTTTACTAAATTCTTCCACAGATATAAAGATTTGGTTTTGAAGTTTGGTTGTACCTGTAGAAAACTTATTTCAAACAGGATTGCACATCCTCATTTTTACGGCAATATTGTTTACCGTGCCCGGAAATTTAGAAACGATCCTGGTAAACTTATCAATCCTTTAAATAAACTTATTCTAAAAGGTTACCAATTCAACACTGTAATTAGATCATTAAATATTGTTTTTATTGGTACTAATATTGATTTTGTTATCAGCAAATTAAAAGCAAACTAAATATTATTGTTATATACATATACACATTCATGGATCTACAATCTGTCGATACCTGTATCTTGGCATTGCACAAGGTCATGTTTTTCTCTGACTGTTTATGACGTCTTTCCACTAAATCCAATAAGACTGAGGTTGATTAGTAATTTGGTCAATAGGATTGGCATTTAAGGAGGTGGGACATCGAAACTTAGACCACACCTTGCCCCTGATTGTTTGATGATCATGGCAGTTGTCAATTATACTGATATTGTATCATTACTCTTACCTAATCAAAATGACAAAAATAGCCTGCAAATTGACAAAACTTAAAGACATAATACTTGAATGAACTGCCCCAAAGATATAACCCAAATTTTTCACAGTTCATATGTACACAGACGTGTGAAATATAGGGAACTATATTTCAGTGCATACACATTTTATAGATTTAGTAGCTAACCTGTGCAACTTCTTGTTTGGGAGGCCAGTGCCTTAGGAAAGACTTGGAACAATAGTTCCAATCTTTCCAAAAAAACAGCCCGTATAACTCATCTGGTATTTATGTATGATATTGACAATCACCTACTTTGGATTCATTTATTTTCATGGGTACATGCACCGATTTTCATGGATAAAAAATGTGTAAGGGTTCCGCGGAACCCAGTGTCTCGCCAACTTTTGCTGTAAATCGCAGGCTCAACAAAAATGAGGAAAAAAAATAATAACAATATTCCTTTTGATACAATCTTTTGATTGTAAGAAGCTTCTGTCCAAGTTTGGTAAAAATCCAGGATAGTTTATGAATCTAATAAATGTTTTAAATCTTCAACTGCAGACTGCATGTAATGTTAACTGGAAGAAAAACTAAGTCCATATATAAGTAAAATACGGATAAACAGGTACAAAATTTTAACAAAATTTCCTTCTAGATACTAGCTTTTGATCATAAACAAGCTTCTGGCCAAGTTTGGTACAAATCCAGGATAGTTTAAAAAAGTTATTAAAATTTTAAAAACTTTAACCACAGAGTGAATGTAATGTTAACAGGCAGAAAAACCAAGTCCATTTACAAGTTAAATACGGAAAAAATGGAATTTTGCTTTTTACAAATTTACTTCTGGATACTATCTTATGATCATAAACAAGCTTCTGTCCAAGTTTGGTAGAAACCCAGGATAGTTTAAGAAAGTTATTAAAATTTTAAAAACTTTAACCACAGAGTGAATACTTGTGGACGCCCCCGACGACGACGACGACGCCGACGGAATGTAGGATCGCTATGTCTCGCTTTTTCGACAAAAGTCGAAGGCTCGACAAAAAAGATAAAATTAACATTATTTTAAAATCTTGTATATGAAAAATAAATGTCACAAATGTACCTCAGAATTACAATAGATGTGACTTTTTAGGAATAGATAATGTCAAATTATAGAAGGAATTAACAAAAACAACAATAATTATGTCTGTAGTATTTATGTTTTGGTCGTCATAGGGTGTTTTGTGGTAACAAGACGCTGCCCTATTTGTCAATTCCTTTTGATAAACCTTAATAGTTTAGGGCCACAAAATCTACTATGAGTACAGACAAACTGATGCATATAGGAAAGTTTTAAGGCATGGCAGGACCTAGATATATAAAAGTTATATGTAGTCTATGTTTCAGAAAATTAAAAACTTACTTGGATTTTGATGTGCATTTTTTTCCAGTCTGCAGAAGATAGCAAAATAAACAAACACATGAGTTTCATTTGATACGGTCCACTCAGTTATACAGTTTAAATCACTATTTTTTGCAGATGTCTATTGTCCATCTATTGTCCATTTAATCAATACTACTCACATCATTTATTATATGAGGGGAGCTTCTCAAACCTCTTTCCCAACTTAGTTTATTTTGGCACCTTCTGCAGGAATGACAAAAAATGAATAGCAAAATCCAGACAAGTTTATAATTTTCTGAAACATAAAATGCATTCAAAATTTAATTATCTAGTTCCTGGCATGCCTTAAAACTTTTCCAGGTGCACAGGTTTGTCTGTACTGAGAGTAAAATTTGTGGTGTAAATACGGCCTTGGCCAAAAGGTTATGATGAACCTTAAACAGGGATAGACTTATTTACCTGAGACAGGTCATTATTGTTTACTACTTTGCAAACAATTTCGTAAAATTAATTAAGATAAAAAAAATACTCGTAAGTAATAAACATTTTAGTATAACTTGCGATCAATTTTATAGTCGTAAGATATTTTTGGAAAAGAGCTACTGGGTTAGACATTTTTGAAACAATTCACGCAGAAAAATAAATTTTTTGTCACTTAAGACAACGATAAGCATTGTTCTTATAAATCTATTTGGAGAGGTTGAGTGGAAAAAGTTGGAAATTACTTGATAATACTTCAATCTTGTTTTGTCTACCATTTTGTCCAATGTACGAAAGTCACATGACAATATAGTTTGGGTTTCGTTTGCGGATAAGGAAGAAATTTTTACGGGTTTCTCATCAAAGGTGAAGAGATGTATGAAAACTAAATACACAACAACCGAATCCCAAGATATGAAAAAAAGAATTATATTTCAAATATTCAAACGACAATGGAAAACGTCACTGATCACGGAAAAGCGTCACCGGCACAGTGGTCACCGTTCAGTAGCGCTCGTAAATGAAAGTCGGGACTATTACATTGATTAATAAAAGCAAGGATTTTATACAAATCCTTGATAAAAGTCACTCTAAAAGTCCCCCTCGGCTGAGACTACTATAACACAGTAGCATTGCAGGGGAACTAAATGGTGACTTTTATCAGAGACATAGATCTCTGCTTTTATTATGTGTTCCCCAGAAAAACATTTCACAAAACGGTAAAATACTGAATTTATAAAATACTTATCATATTACGCATGCAAATGTACTACTGGCCGGTTCCCCATAGGAACTTCATAGAGTGACTTTCATCAACGAGCGAGCCATACCAGCCCTTAATCATAATAAAAAATCTCTTGCTAAACCATGATCATTGCTAAATCAATCTACACTAATCTACACATGTTGATAAGTATTGTGTATGCAAATAGACGCCGTATTTTCTAAATAAACCGAGAAAAGCACATGGTGTAACTCAGGATAAGAGTAACATTATGCTTTCGTCATTGATCGTTCTGACTTCTGTAAAATCTGGTTAAATCTGGGACATACTTTAGAATACTATCCCAGGTTAAATCAGCTTCTTAGAAAAAGATGGACAGAAGTAATTCAATACAAAAAAAAATTAAGTGCTCCCGAAAAGGTTACCTTTCTATATGAAATGACAGGTTTAATGCCTCATTATTGACATTTATGCCTACTCCATGTAAATTCTTCGTATTTGAGCACTAGACAAGTAAGACAAGCTGGGATAGTTTTGGGAATAGAAAAGTATTTTTATGTTCATTTTGATTAAAATACAGAAGTACAGTGTGCAGATTGCACATATATATAATATTTTTTTTTAATTTTGTGGTTATTTTTTTAGTATTTAAAATATTATTCAAGTCATGTTTTTGCTACAGGCGCATGAGGAATGGACTCCTCTTTTTCTAAATGTTATTTTTGTTGTTTTAATTTGATTTTGTAAATGTTCCTTAATATTCTAACTTATTTTCACTTATCATCAAAGACTTCTTGCTCTTATCCGTATGAAACAAAGTTTTTTTTTAATTGTAAATGTAATGATTGAACACGACCTTCAATGATTATAGAATTAATTTTTGTAACATTTATTATGAATACTCGTCAAATTCTACATTTATTAAACTTCGAATAAATGGAGGTTCGGATGTCACTTCCGCTGAGACTTGAGACAGGATAGTCAAATAGCGAGTTTCCCGTGGTATCCTTGGTGACTTTTCATTGCCTCTTTTTTGTGTCCCTTTAAGAGATTTAAAGGAAGACGAAAATTGTGATTTTCTATGACGTTACGCACGCAGATTTTGATACCACTGAGCGTAACACGACGTTCACATTAAAATTGTTCCAACGAACTTCCAAGCGTACTTTTTTACTACTGTAAAATGGACGCTTTAAACTACCGTAGCATTTACATTCTTTTAATGATATAAAAATAAGTAGATGTGGTTTGATTTCCAATGAGACAACTATCAACCTGACTTAAAATGACGTTGATTTAAGCAATTATGGGTCATCAACAATGCGGAGAAAACCCCATACCAAGTATTCATTTGACCAGTCGGGATTGGCATTAATAAATGTAAACTTTGATGTCCAAATCCCCGTAGAAATTTAAAAAAAAATTATGATATAATTATGTTGGCTTAATCATTCCTTTTTTAGCTTTTATTTTTTTAGTTTTTCCAACCAAGATTAAACAAACACACCATGTCAATTTTGAAAAAAGTCTTTCATTTTTTGTCGAGCCCGCGACTTTTGTCGCAGAAAGCTCGACATAGGGATAGTGATCCGGCGGCGGCGGCGTTAACTAACTTCTTAAAAGCTTAATATTTCAGAAGGTAGAAGACCTGAATCCTGAATACTTTGTATATAGATGCCTTATGATATGAAGTTTCCGTCTGTCATATGTCCATTGTCCTTGACCTCATTTTCATATTTCAGTGACTACTTCAAAAAAGTTAAGATTTTTTGTAATGTTAATTTCTGTCTTATTATGAGTAATATGATAACTATGTTTGGTATGTGCGTACTTTCCTGTCTGTTTTTTTAATACTGTATTCAATAGGTCAGCTATATTTGGTGTATGGAAATATTTTACGATGTACATTTCAGTCTGTCAGGTTTTATTTATTGACCTTGACCTCATTTTCATGGTTCATTGCTTCATGTTAAGTTTTTGTGTTTTGGTTCGTTTTTCTTAAACTTTAAGCAATAGGTCAACTATATTTGGTGTATGGAATGATTGAAAGGTGTATATGTCTTTCTGGCAGGTATCATCTGACCTTCACCTCATTGTCATGGTTCATTGATCAATGTTCAGTTTTCCTGGTTAACTTTGTTTCTTAAATACTTTAAGCAATAGTTCAACTATATTTGATGCATGGAATGATTTTAATGTGTACATGTCTGTCTGGCAGGATTCATCTGACCTTGCCCTCATTTTCTTATGGTTCATTGGTCAATATAAAATTTCCATCGTTTGGTCTGTTTCTTTTATACTATAAGCAATAAGTCATCTATATTCAGAGTATGGAATGATTGTATTAAAGGTGTACATGTATTTCCGGCTTGGTTTATCTGACCTTGACCTCATTTTCTTGGGTCATAAATGTTAATGTGATAATTGTAAATCTTTATATTTAAGATTATCAACATAAAATCAATGGTCAGTATAGTAGGCGAGACATTTCAGCGTGTGCACTCTTGTTCTAAAATCATTGTAGCAACGTGTTAGTAATCTATCATAAATGTCTATAAATTGCTCAAAATTCAGTTTTGATGCGTTATATTAGCATTTCATTTTTTTAAAGTTAATAAGAAGGCCAGATATCAATTATTTCAATAGGGGTAACGATGTTCTTTGATCCAAAATATTAAAAACACATGCAGAATTTGTAATTTTGGGCCAAAATTGCCTTCAAATTTTCATGAACTAATGTGTGTAAAATGATTGGAAATATTTTTAGTTTATCATTTAGCTTCCCTCATTTTCAAATAACAAAATATTTTGAAACTTTAAACCGAATGTGACCCTGTGAGTGAGACAGATGCAGGGAAAACTGACACTACCTCTTTACTCGTAAGACGTGCGTGCTTCCAAAATATCAAAATGAATATCTTTGTTTATAACAATATCGCCTTCGATGTCTTATTTCTTAATTTTCTATATCTTAATCTAAACTCTTTTCACCATTTCTTTTGCTATTTGTGTATTTTAATTTTCTTCCCTACAGGATTTCAATGGTAACAGTATGTTATACCACTATACCTCCTTGTAAGCCACACGTACAGCTTTAGGATTTCAATGGTAACAGTATGTTATACCACTATACCTCCTTGTAAGCCACACGTACAGCTTTAGGATTTCAATGGTAACAGTATGTTATACTACTACATCCTTGTTAGCCACACGTACAGCTTTAGAATTTCAATGGTAACAGTATGTTATACCACTATACCTCCTTGTAAGCCACACGTACAGCTTAAGTATTTCAATGGTAACAGTATGTTATACCACTTCCTCCTTGTAAGCCACACGTATAGCTTTATGATTTCAATGGTAACAGTATGTTATACCACTATACCTCCTTGTAAGCAACACGTAGAGCTTTAGGATTTCAATGGTAACAGTATGTTATACCACTATACCTTCTTGTAAGCCACACGTATGGCTTAATGATTTCAATGGTAACAGTATGTTATACCACTATACCTCCTTGTAAGCCACACGTACAGCTTTAGGATTTCAATGGTAACAGTATGCTATACCACTATACTTCCTTGTAAGCCACACGTACAGCTTTAGGATTTCAATGGTAACAGTATGTTATACCACTATTCCTCCTTGTAAGCCACACATACAGCTTTAGGATTTCAATGGTAACAGTATGTTATACCACTTTACCTCCTTGTAAGCCATACGTACAGCTTTAGGATTTCAATGGTAACAGTATGTAATACCACTATACCTCCTTGTAAGCAACACGTATAGCTTTATGATTTCAATGGTAACAGTATGTTATACCACTATACCTCCTTGTAAGCCACAGGTATAGCTTCAGGATTTCAATGGTAACAGTATGTTATACCACTATACCTCCTTGTAAGCCACACGTACAGCTTTAGGATTTCAATGGTAACAGTATGCTATACCACTATACCTCCTTGTAAGCCACACGTACAGCTTTAGGATTTCAATGGTAACAGTATGTTATACCACTACCTCCTTGTAAGCCACACGTACAGCTTAAGGATTTCAATGGTAACAGTATGTTATACCACTATACCTCCTTGTAAGCCACACGTACAGCTTTATGATTTCAATGGTAACAGTATGTTATACCACTATACCTCCTTGTAAACCACACGTACAGCTTTAGGATTTCAATGGTAACAGTATGTTATACCACTACATCCTTATAAGCCACACGTACAGCTTTAGGATTTCAATGGTAACAGTATGATATAACACTATACCTCTTTGTAAGCCACACGTACAGCTTTAGGATTTCAAAGGTAACAGTATGTTATACCACTATACCTCCTTGTAAGCCACACGTACAGCTTTAGGATTTCAATGGTAACAGTATGTTATACCACTATACCTCCTTGTAAGCAACACGTATAGCTTTAGGATTTCAATGGTAACAGTATGTTATACCACTACATCCTTGTAAGCAACACGTACAGCTTTATGATTTCAATGGTAACAGTATGTTATACCACTACCTCCTTGTAAGCCACACGTACAGCTTTATGATTTCA